CGGCAATCAAACAATATTAATTGCTTCAGTCTTCACTTCGTCCCAGTTGGACTTTTTTTACAAGAATTAGTCACAAAAATGTCTATTTAAATATCAAAAAATGGCAGAAAAAGATATCGTTTTCTCTTTTTGATTTGGGCAAATAATAATCAATACTTGAAAATATGACTATTGAGAAATCACTTATCAATTAACTAATTATGCTTTTCCTATCTCGCAAACCTAAATTGGCATATAGGAGATTTGCCCGACGATTCGGCGCAACCCTTCACGGGCCAACCCGCCAATGTACGCTACGAGATCGCCCTTTTAGCGAATCGACTGATTGTAAGTGGCAGACGTTAGCAAATGCGGCGAACACCCTAAAACGTCGACAAACAAATCGGTCCGGATTGTTCCTGAAAAACAAAGGGTAATCTATTCATTTTCAATTTTTTTAGAATTCTGGACCATTGGCAATATAAGAGCTCGGCCCTTTGAGCTTTGGGCCTCTTTGTGCCGAAAAATTCAAAGCTAGAAGTGTGCGTTTGCTGCAAATCTTCAAATCATCTCACAAAAAAGTTCTTTGTCCGTGTATACTCTACTTTAATTTTGCGTAACTTCTACCAATTTACAGAACCCGTCGCACGTATCAAAGTACTCCACATTCGTGTATATAAATTATTAATTGTTAGAATATAACTGACTTTTTCGAATTTATCGCGTTTTGTAAATTCGTTACCTCTCCTGGATCTGTTTTTGGCGTTAAAACAATGATAGTTAACATGAATAATAGTTAAAACGAGGAAGGAGAAGCCAGAGAGCATATTATCGATCCGCATCATGTGTGTGTAGCCGTGTGTATGTGTGTGTATTAGTTCGAAGGATCAAGGATTATAGCCCATTTGTCGAGAAGTCGTGGAATAGTAATTCGCACCGTAGGAGGTATTCGGAACAGGATGACTCGGCGCGGCCCAAATGGGGGCGACCCGATGTTCGTGCAGGGGGCGGCTCCGGGGATTTCGATGCAAGGCGCGCGGCGTCGCGAATCAATGCGACGCACGATGTTGGGCCCTTGCCGCGTTTATCGGTTCTCTTTTTCCTCCCCGCGCAATCATAATTTTTATTTTATGATATTTCTGTAGTATACTGCAGAATTTTTAGCAACACGCAGTATATTAAAATTCTGTTATTTATATATTAATTCTATTCTACATGTATGTCTGTGCTGTATCTTCTTTAGGTCAACTCTGCAATCTTATTGACTCACGGATATCTTAAAATCAATATTCGCACGTTCCGTTGTTAGATTAGCTGCATCACCGTTCGCCTTACTCGCAATCAGTCCCGATCTATTGAGTTAGATTTTATTATATCCTTGTTTACGTTAGTCACTTTTATCTGCTCTGCGTGAGTTGCCTTCCGAGATTAAACCGTTAGGCGCGATTAAATTACATATCGCACACTTTTCGATCTTGCATAAATGCCTCGAGGAAACCTTGATGTCGAAAGGCGAGATGACAAAACGTGCTCTACTCTGTTTCTCTCTTCCATATTGTCTCTTCGACATTGTCGCGCTCCCGATTTCTTCTTTCCGCTTCTGCCTTTGTTTTTCGCTTATTCCGCGTCGGCGTTGACACGGTACGCGCGTGTAACGTAAGAGAAGAAAACGGAAAAACGACGCCGGCCTGCGGTCGGCCGGATCTGGTTCAGAAACGAGATACGCCTGAGAGACCTGACGTAAACAAACGGTAACGTGTCGCGTCTCCGTAGACGATAGAAACTAGTATGTGATCGGCGCTCAATACCCGCTTATCGATCATCAACGCAATCAACGAGTAAGTACTCAATAAGTAATTTTCTTGTATCCTACACTAATTTTAAGAAACATTCTAAAGACAGGTAACGTTACCGCTTGTCATCCTTTTTGAGCATTTTGATGTGGTCTTTTTATATAAATTAAGATCATTTATTTAGTGCATGATGTTACCAGTGCTTTGGCATTTTTTATTAAGAAATTTAAGAGAGAGATTGTAAGTTTCGCTTACTTTATAGCCTCATATCTTTTCGTTCGCACAAGAGTCTGGAAATGGAAACAGTTGGAACGATTGTCCAAGTTATTACAACCAAACCTGAGAACGACAGAATTTCAGAGCCGTGTCTCATCCGCGGTATTTAGTTTCTAAACCAGACAATATAATACATATTTTCAAATTTATCTTATTTTTGCAAATCTTAAGTCTCTCTTTATTTTACACTCTTAAATATTAAAAGATGAAATTTAAACCAATACCTCAAGTTAAATAACATTTTGTTATTTTTTACTACCATGTGTGTCGAAATTTATTATTTTAACGCAAAACAGTATTATTTTAATTTCATTGGTTTAATTAAATTAACGACATATTGAGTAGAAGCAGGTGATCTATAAGAATAGTTAAAAAGACTCAAATTGAGTATAATTTGACACTATGAATTTACCAGTGTATTATAACGCAAGATCAGTGATATATTGTACGATATAACTGAATGACCTTAGAAATTTTTATTTTTCATATTTATCTCAAATATATCTTGTCGTAAAAGTATCAAATTGCTTCTTGTCACTTCGTATTCCTGTGTTCTCCTCCGTTTTAATATTTAACATCTATACCATAGAGACTAGTGTCGTTCGAACGCGCACGGACGTAATTCGGATTCGCTTCACAGCCTTAGAGTCAATATGCCTTTCCAATATGCTGGGCAACACCTGCGCGTTGTTGGAAAATGTGCGTTTTACGCGAGCATCTGCCCCAATGCGATCCACTGGCCCATTTCCAGCTGTGCTGCGTGCCCCGGAAGTGAGGCGCTTGCCCCGATTAATTATAAATTATGCGGGATGTGTCGCGTTTCCTCCGAAGCCTATTCTTTGTAATTACACCTCTTGGCTCAACAATAAGTTAGATAATGAATGAAAAATATGAAATAGTAGTGTTCTTTCTCCTTAGGTAAGTTTGGAAGTCATTCGAGAAAAAGTTGAAAATGTTGGAGAACCAACACTATTCTGGATATTTTGCCACATGGATCAAACTGAAATAAATATTAACAATTCTTATTAAATTTCGTCTAATGTCTTTAACATTCTAAACAATAAATAATTCTTTGGTAACAATTTATGAGTATTATCGATAGATATTGAAATAAATGAAAAGAGAATAAGAATATAATCAACATATTATAATACACTAACGTGTTTAAACTGAGGTCGCTTGAAAATGTCTGAAAGGAATCTGCGTTTTAAATGTTATAACAAAGAAATGTGTAGATAATAATGTAGTTGATCTTATAGTACCAAGGCTGCACACTTTGAAAACACCTGTCTCGCATTTCGTTAAAAATCGCTCGAAGACTACGAAAGGATAAAGGAAACAACTCGCTTGGTCTGTACAAAAGGCAGGAATTTATTACGATATGATTGCACAATTCGTCATGCAAACTTAATTGTATAACAAACGGTTACTCTGTTTAGAAAAATTTGATTCTGCCCCATAGATTAGGTGGATTTGAGTATGCACCAAAATAAGTAAAAGCTTAATGTTATTAAGTTCTGAAAAGATGTCAAAGAGATTTATTTATTCTATTTAATCTATTATTACTTATCGCTAGATACAAATAAGTCTATTACTGTTGCGTATTATCAAAATTCTTGCCGAATATTTTTATTTTTCTTAGAATAATTCTTGCTTAACATAACAACATCTAAATATAAAGTCGCTAGTTACTTAGGTAGAATTGTTGCATAATTGCAGTTTACGATAATTGCGACTGTATGTATATTGGAAAATATATGTATGTATATTGGTATATGAAAAACAAAGACAAAACCACCGTTAGATACGGGCAGGGGAGAGAGAAAAAGGGGATAGAAACGAAGAGAGACGAGGATGAAAGACTGCAATAGGCAGAGAGGGTGGTGGCAATTTGCACTTGGCGCAGAGTACCGCCGATATCTAGTATCCCGTCGCGTTATTACGCTCGAGGTACCCCGGAGTAAGAGGGAAACGGGGTTCGGAGATGACTGAGGGCGCGGGAGGGACGGGAGGGGGATACAAAGGTGTAGACTTACTTTGGACTCGGGTGTGGGATTACCGTACTTATATTCAACTCTAATATTAAGTTACCACTTTGCTTTACGGCAAGTGAACAGGCCGCCTGCATATAGGAAGCCATCCGAGCGCTCCCGGGACAGTCTGTCCCATTCGTCTGGGCCCACCTACGAATAACACATTCGTCCGTTCCGGGGAAAGTCCCGCGGTAGATCGACAGTGTTGCTTCGCGTTAGTCTCTCCCTCGAAGTATCGGGACGAGCTCCTTTCGCTATCGATCGCGTTCTCGATCGCGAAGGGAGAGGAACGTAAGCTTCTGCAAGACAATCTCTGGACTTATCCATGATTCGCGCTTTCTCGCACTTGAAACGCATCCCCGTTCGTTCTCCATGTTATTCACTGCGAAGGATGGCTGATCTCACTCTCTCCAGCCGGCTGAAACCACCGAATCCGGGAATGAACAACGTTAACGAAAAGAAGTACGTATAGCGAGAGATAATTCGGTCAAAGGAAATTGAAGTAAACATTCTATTCTACAAAATCGAACTTCGCATTCGAAGATCACGAACTGATCTCAGAAATTGTTCGACGTGTAGGGAGAGGGAGAGTTTCCCGCGCGGATACTTGACTTTCCTCTGGAACATCACCTCATAAGGCTCCGGAGTAATCCTGCTCGAAAGCTCGCTCTCAGTTTGCGTTACAACGGTAGAGAGCGATAGAACAAATTTCCGCATATAAGAAAGTAGAGGTACTGACTTCTGTGTGTGCTGGGGTATGCGCTGGACTTCCTAGCACCATTAGAAATCAGTACTACTCTTCTTAGCATTCGGCAATTCCGGAGCAAGGCGGAACTGTTCCCTGCACGTTTTATACGGGAGCAATCGCGCTACCGAGAAGACGGGAAAAGATAGGATGAAAATTAACGCACGCTGTAAAAATAATTAAACATCTTTCCTTTTAATCTTTCTTATACATCATTGTCATCATTTGCCTGTACATATTCCGTTCAATTGTTTTTATCTTTACAGCTTCGAGCGTGGCTCGGTGGCCCAAACACGTGACACTTATACAATATTTATAACTAACATGGTGCCCTGCTTTGTTAAATTACAGTTCTTTCTATTCGCTTCCCGCGTGTCTCCCTCACGAGGAGATCTCTCCGGTATAACGTTGTTATTATAATATGCACCCCTGGACAATGATCCAACCCTCCTAGTTGGGACGAATTAAAAGAGTCATAGTTGTTTAAATTGTTTTGCGCGCGCGACATATCCCTGCATTTTGCGGATGTAATTAATTACGCAATAGGTATCATAAATATTTAGTGTTTCTAGTTGTAAAACTCATTTAATATTCGTCAGTAGCTCCGCTCGATTTAATTAAGAGGAAATTTTATTATGTGCAATCGGGCATTCGGCGAATTATACACGATCGAATTACAAAATAGCTGGTGCTTTATTGAAATTACTTGTACTAGGAAGGGCCGTATCATTGTTCCCCAGGAGTGGACGTACAATGTCATACGCTTACGTAAATATTACATACACATATGTATATATATTTATATATATATATAAACATAGTACTTTGCGAGGAAATACGAAACATTATAATAAATAACTTTATATTCATACACAATTCGGAACTATATGGTAATGACTGTGGCGATGGCGTAGTAAAGGAATATGTGCCTATATACAATAATAATATTAAATACGCCCGTATAAAATACAGCGTGCAACAGGTCAACTTTCCTGATGTCTTCTTAAACGCGTGTCTGACGAAAAAGCGACGACAACGAGCACCCAGTTGAAAAGCGAGAAGATCAAGGACACTTGATACCCTGCTTACACAACGCGGTACGTATCAATTAAAACAAAATGTCTACGAAAGAATCTGGGTGGAAAAAATGTATAAGTGTATAATTACGAATTCTAAAAGATGAAACTCATAAGATATACTTAATAAAAGAGAAAAAAATATCGTAATTCGAATATAAGAAAAGATATAAAGATTTAAATTTATAAAGCCAGATTCACGTTTTATTTGTAAAAGATGTAATTTACATTTGAAGAGCGAATCGATAAACTTAAGAAAGTACTTAATATTTGGAACGCTAAATAGTATCTAACTATTTAGTCCATCATTTTTTAACTTTTTACTTATATCCTTTTTCCCAAAATGTCGAGTACCGATACAAAAACCCGGTTTGAAGATGCATTTTATCAAGATCGTATCCTAGCGTGCGCGTTTATTTCCCTTTATTTATCCTTATTCAAATCTTTTTAGTCCCTAATTGCAATTTTATTTGGACGCAGATTCCTCGAATACAATCGCGAATTCGGCTAATTCTTATCGATTATGACTTATCATTAATGTCTATTTAGCGAGACTGGAACGATTTCACCCGAGTGGGTTACCATGGTCGTCAAGCGACAGCGAGGACAATGACGAGGAGGATGACAAGATTTCCGGCGAGTCTGTCCGGTAGTTAGGTGGAATCCTTGTTTCGATTGATTGCCTGAAGCTTCGTCCAGGTCTCGCCGAGCGCTTTCGCGAAATGATCGTCAACTGCAGCGCAAAGAACGCTTAAGACTGGTCCCAAGGTAAGGCGAGGCTAAGACAAGACTGGATCCAGATTGGTTCAGCCTGGACCATGGAAGCATCACCCAAGGCCGGTCCATGCTGAATCCAGAATGTCGCGTCTATTTTATCCCTCACGGGACAAACGTTCGATATCTGTCTGTACTTACCAGTCAGGCCGGTTTCCTTGTCCATAGGAGTAGTGGCGTTGAAGACAGCCGCGTACTTCTTCGGACCCAGAGACCGTTTGAAGTGCTCGTCGATCGCGGGATCGCTGACGCCACCCGCCGTCCTGATGCCGGTCCTCTGTCCACCCGAGGCCGCGGTAGGCGTCGTCGTCGGCGTAGGCGTCATAGCAGTATCCTCGATTGTGATACCTGAAAAAAAAAAAACATGGATAAATCCTTTCACCGTACCTCATTCGTTGTACGTTAATTCTATATACATAGAATTGTACGTTAATTATGTTAATTATATAATTCTAATTATATAATTTTCAGACTGTTATTGATTGTAAAACATACGTATGCGTAAAATTGTTTTTATCGTTTTACAAGTAATATCAAAATAAAAATTAATAAATTACAAAAGCAGATATAATTTAAAAAAAAGATTATAAATGAATCTGTCCACTACTAACATAACAGACATTTGAATATCCGTTACCGCAATTCCGTTTGTAACTAATGCGAAAATGAATGTTTCAGGAAAGTACGTTAACACGAAGGAATGTTACGGTACCATCGGGGGATTACTGTATTTCCATTGAAAGATACTTCGCATCTGCACACCATCCCAGTGTGCAGCGGGCAGTGCATTGTCATAAAACACCCTATACAGAAACCTCTGACGACAATGGGAAACTTGGAAGATGCCTAACAACGGACTCTCTCTTTCTCTCTCTTGGCACAGCCAGAACCATTGTTAGTTAAAACAATTCAGTAAAAATATTCGAATACCTCGAAACTCGGAGATGAGATCAGTTGAAGGTAAATTTATTATTTATATAAAATGTTTCATGCTATATAATAGTAAAATTGAACTGATTTTATTTTATTTTTTATTTATCTTAAGTTCTACTAGAAATCGAGCTACGAATACTCGCTTTGGCTACCCATTGCCGCTACGAAAATTAATTCAGGTTTCGAAATGTTCAGTATTCAATCTTTCCACAAATATGTTTTTATTTTGACTCTATTATGAATCATCTTACTTCATTCTTCTTGTAAAAATTAAAAATACTGCCAAAGGAAATATGAATCTAAGTAAGGAATCTATTTAACGTTGAAACTTTACGTTATCATTTCTCCGCACGAATTGAAATTGAATCTTTATTTTTCATTGCTCATAGAACTTTGTAATTTTAAATAACGTGCATTTTTTTCGACGTCAAAACTATTCAAGGTCAGAACTTTATATTTTTCATGATCAGTCACGTGAAAAACAAAACGCGATCTTTATTTTGTGTCGGAATCTTCAGTCATAATTTTATATATCTTGCACTTTTAATCGATATCGAAAGATATACTAATCACATCCCTTTTTTCTTTTTAGGGGTTTTCCGTCATTATTAATGATCACTTACCAACTTGCGGCGTGGTAGGAACGATTACACTCGGTCTGCTGTGGTGATGATTCGTTCTTCCTGCTGACATGTCCAACGCTTCGCTTTGAATCGGATCTCTCCTACGTTCCTTGCGCCACGCGCTGCTTGGCTTCCGATGCAAATTCGTCACCTTCGGTCTCTCCTCTGCAATACACGAAAACACCGAAAATACCACCGTGAACGCACTATCGTTTGACACGTCAATGAAAATTCTGAACGAGGAGCAACTACTAATCCGACGAAGAGTCAGATAAATACTCGATGTGAAGAATCCGTTATATCAATTATTATTTCATATCAATCATGCTCAGCCCGCTAATTCGCTTCGGAGCGATGTCTCTGCTCCGCTAATGTATTTCACTCTAAATCGAACCACTCCGCACTTGCACCTTTTCGTTTTAATTTAGGGCCTGAGCAGAATGACCGACTTATAATTTTAAATCTTCGTTTTTAGCAACGCACAATACTGTCTTGTGTCTCAAGTCTTACAAAAGTTGACACTTTGTACACTCGTTTAAGACTTGAGACACAAGATAGTATTGTGCGTTGGTAAAAACAAAGATTTAAAGCATAAAACATTGTCTTAAAATTATAAGTCAGCTATTCTGCTCAGACCCTTAAGAAGTACCAGACAAAATGCAGTCAATGAGATTGGCTACGCTACGTCTCCGAAAGTTTGAAAACGAAATACACGCATTCAAAGAGAAATCCTCCGAAGAAAAACTACTGGCTCGTTTCCCTCGACTTTGTCGGACTAAAATGGAATGTGAAGATCGACAACGTTATTTCGAATCGGCGTTCATAAAGTGGGGATGGTAAAGAGTGGTGGACATAAGAGAGCGATTAGGCTGGTTGTAAATATTTTCGTCAGTATTGTCCATTTAGACAAGAGAGCGTATAAGCGCGTGTGCGTGAAAAAAGCAAGTTTGATTGGCTACACCGTGCAACCGAGCCTCGTTCGTGTTCCACGCTTTCGACAGCATACCTAGAATTCCTCTCTTACATACTATTTACCACGCTTCGCGACGAGACGCGTTATCGATCGGAATCTATCGGAAATCGCGAGGGTCGTCTATTTCCGAGCGGTGGGGTATCTAAAATTGGAAAATCAATCAAACGAGACAACCCCTCGCCACGATTGGTCGAGAAAGAACGGGAAGATGAAGGAGGAGGAGAAAGGAGACAACGAAGGACGAGAGAGGAGGGTAGCAAAAACGAGTTCGGTTCTCAGGATCGGCAGGAAGTGCCTAATAGCCGTGAGAGGATCATCAAGAAGATGGCGAAACTGGTTTAGAGGTGCGTACCGTAGGGAAAAGATGAATGGACCGTAGAGTTGAACGGAAACGGAGTGGGAAGGTTTCCTCGAGAATCAATTAACGTCTCGATATGTACCGCTGATAATTAACGAACGTGCATATGAGTCTCGTCCCTTTATGACTCCAAATCATAGGGCGAACGTAGCGTCGTTTCCGCTGAAGCTACCCAGCAGCGAAATAAATCGGGAGAGCCGAAGGTCCTCCTTTTAGTTCGTAAATTTGAGGGGGGGGACACATTCTTACAACATCGCTCGGCGTTCAACATCCATGTACCTCTAATTGCATATTTTATAATGCAGTATATTTTGTTAATAATACTATTATTTTCAACACTATTCTGCAATTGCCACAATCGTAAAATCGTAAAACACTAAAATGGAATACCGAAGAGTTGAACGCCAAGCGAAATGCCGTATTTAGTAAGATTCATCATATTTCGATGAGTAGACCCTAATAAAAATTTCTATTTATTAATCAAATCCATTTCAAAATTGAATGATTATAATATCTGTATTTCTGAAATTTAACATGTAGAATCTTAGCACGCCTTAAGTGCCTGTAGAATGAATAGTTTCTTACAAAAACTACTCAAGTTAATTTATTTTTTGTGTTAACAAAAATCGATTATAAATTTCGCCTGAAAACTATACACTATCCAATTTCTGTCAAACAGATCTGATTGGCAAAAAAAACGTCTCCAATTTGTTCATTGGCAACCCTTTTACCTGAAATTTTTTCTTTATAATAAAGTTTTCCTATTTGTTTTTATAATTTTAGATCTTTTCGGATCACCGTGCCTTACAAAATGACGTTACCTTCCGATTTGCGAGGCAGTCGGAGGCTATCAACTTTAAGCCACGGTTGCCAGAGATGCCTTCTCTTGCACGGGAGCTCCATTTTATCGGTCTTTGGAGCATTAATGGCGAAGTCAAAACTGCGGTATCGTCCTCTCTTACGATATATTGAACGAACACTTTGACGAGCAAGACGAAAGTTTATTTCATTCTCCAAAACGCACTGTGTATTTTCGCGAGGGTTCAATTATCACTGTGCGTTCTTCTTCAGTAATATAATAGCACAGTTTAAAGTTAATTTTATAGTATATTAATTTTTATAACGGTACGTATAGTTTTTTCTTCTATCGCGACTGTATATCACACAATTGTAACGCGAGAAACGATTGGGCTGATGATGGAGGTGCGTAAATAAAATTCAAAGGAAGTATGACGATATTTCTGATAAAACAAGTTATCTTCGTCGACACAATGCGCCTTTTTCCCGACGCACGATTATCTGCTAAAAATAATCAAGAGCATGAGCTGGGTGTTCTTGTGTTCTGCGAAACACAAATATCAACGGTGCATCGATTCCGCTCTTGCACAAATCCCTATTGAAGTTTCCCAAACGGTATACACACTGATCGTTTTCACCAGCGATTAAATTAAATAAATAACCACTAGATAGTCTCAATGACGATTATTCCTTGACATAACTTTCGATGCACTTCGCCACTTTGATTCTCGAAATGAAAAATCTGCGCGACATTCTCACTAAAAATCTCATTATCTGAACATTTCTTCTTGCAGAAGCGCACTGATCTCTTCTCTAATCCGACGATTTATTTACTTTCCGGGCACAGTGTCACAGCTTCTGATAATCGATACAATTACCGCTTCATCCGCTCGCGAGTAGACGGCCGCGTTGGCGATCGCGGCGTGAAGCGATCGAGACATCAGGGAGAAGATCGCGGAATCGCCACGGAGAATCGGAAGAACTCAGGATCCAAAGAGAATGACGAAGATGCGATAAACGAGAAGGAAACGGCAGCGGGACCGAGAGAGATAACTCGAAAACCGCGAAAGGCGGAAAACGGAGCGAGAGACACGCGAACACGCACAAACCCACGCTCGCTGTTCGGCGTATAGCCGCGGCTAACGAAACGGTCATTTAACGCAATCGCGAGGTGCGCACAATGACGAAGGAACGACGGCGACGAGGATGGAAATGGCGACGACGCGAGGAGAAGCCGCGAGATAAAAAAGCGCGTCCTCCAAAAAAAGAAAGAAAGGAAAAGAAAAGCGCGTCCCTCAAAGGGGCGCTCGCGGTTTCGTGAATGCGCCACTCACGACTGTCTTAAGATTCATTCATTCATCCGCCGCCTCGGCTCGTTCGTCCGCCGCCACCCTTCTCCCCGTGCAACACGTGGGATCGAAGGAGGTTGCTTTTACACGTACACACGCATACGCGAGCACGCTGGGCACCGAGGGTATCCTGCACGGATACGTCGCGAATTAAGCGTGCATTTATAAGGTACTATAAGCGCGCACGCTCGGCTGGAAGCCAACTCGTCTCTTTTCTCGCTTTCTCTTTCTCTCGGCCTCTCCTTCTCTCTGCCTCTTTCTCTCTTTCCCTTTTTACAGGTAGGTAGGTAGGTACGATATACTGGGTGAGCACAGACTAAAAATTCGCATATATATGCCCTTTGATCACTTTGGAGCCGATAAAATAAACTGAAAGCGCTCGATATTTCGTTCTTTCCTTTTATAGTCTTTAACTGAATAGTCTGACCCAAGTCACACTAAAAAACGCGCGATTATTCGTTCAAGTTACATATGTATGACGCACGGCTTGTTTCAAGCATTCTAACGAGGGAAAATAGTCTGAGGAATTTGTGACGTTATACATGACGTAGTCATTAAGCAATAAAGATACGGCGGAAAAGAAAAATTATTGAACCGAGAACCAATGGTTAACAATTCTCTCCAATTTCCGTCTTCTAATTTTAAGATTTTCTTTACATTGACTAAATTTAAAATTAAATCAGTTCGATTCGAAGGACGTGCGATAATGTTGATCTGATATGTACATATTAACATTATTAGGTCAAAGTTCTATTATATGTAGGATATAAAGGAAAAATTTTGAAGACTAAGAAGTCGACACTTCACTCGAGCTCTTCTTCCAATTTCTAGAGATTAGAAGATTACATGGACTTTGAATTAAATTAATTCGATTCGAAGAACGCGTTCGATAATTCGGCGCGACCCTGTATGTGCGCGATGTAACCGGCGCGGCGCGGCGCATCGATGCGATGCACGCGCGAATGCGTCGAGTGAAGTTGATAGCATGCGTTTATTTTAACCCTTTCGATATCCATGTACCAACCGCATATCATGCATTGAGTTCCAATGACTCGAATGCAAAAGAAAAGAAGAAAAAAATGAAGGAGAGAAGAGGCGCTAATGCCTTTGTATCATTTTTCTAATTTTTGCAGTTTTTATCTTTTTATTACATAATAGGATTTCAAAGCATAAAATCGGAATATATAGGATTTTCAAAATTGATAAATGAAGATAAGGCGATCGTGAAAATAATAAAATTTAATGGGAGCCGATAATATTGACTCTTATTCATATATATCTTGCAATAATATTATTTACATATTAATTCATATTTTTGCATCCGTGTTAAATCTTAGATCTTATATTAAATATAATTTGTGTTGTAGCGCCAGTCGTAATTCAACGTTCATTTATCCGTGCGCATAATTTACTAGAATTATCTAATTTGCATCATTTCGCATTCATTATTCGAGAGACAGAAAATACAATATACGAGCCGTAAAATATATGCGATAGAAGGTTAAGCAGTCATGGCACATTCTGTCTAAACTTCCTGATAAAATGCATCGGTGTAAGCGAAAGATTGTCGCTCCGTTGATGAATAAAAATTCGAGATCAGCAAATGCCCGACTCGCGTCGTGCTGAACACATGTACTTAATCTGCAATACGTAGAATCGCAACTATAAACGGCGACTATGCGGAACCCGTTGTGACACTCCGAAGTACCGATGTGTTCAGCAAACGTATCTATCATTTAAGTAGGATTTAGTTAATGCGCCCTATGAGAAATAAAACTATCTTGTTTTAAACACCTTAATTATATATAAGTCAAATAATTCTTTTAATCAAAGACAATCGACATTATCCCATGAGTTGTAATAAATAAGCAAATAATATAATATGTATATGTATATACGCGCACTATATCACTTGTTACATTCCTTTCCTTTTTTCTTTCAAATAATTTTATAATATTAAAAAATGGCAGTCATTGTTGACGTCCTAACTAGTAGAGAAATCTAATAATTTAGAGTTTTAAAGCTCTATCAAAACCTTGTACCTTGTTTCTCGTTTAGCTTTTAAATATACTATCTTTCTAAGTTCCATATATATACGGTGTGTTTGATTAAAATTTTTTTGATAACTATTATTTAAAAGAATAACTAAGTTACATTCCTCATGTGTATACACATAAAACAAAACAAAACAAAAAAAAAAATAAATATATATAAAAAAAAAAAAAAAATATATATATTCTATAAAAATACTTAATTTTTTATCATAAATGTTTTACTACAACTAAAATGTATTCCAGCATGATTTCATGCCTCCTGATTTCAGTATTCGCGCTAAATAGATCCAGATCATTCCGCAAACAGGATTTCGTAAGTCGAACAGTTGAATACAAAGCGAAGAATGCGATTGCTCACCCGCGATCGCGCGATCGATTCCATGTAAAAACGATTGCGCGTATTGTGACAGTATGTTACGATCGCGAATTTATGTCAGGTAATAGCACGTTGCATTATAACTCGGCGCCCGCGATAATAATAGCGATACCCACGGCGATTCGCTCCAACTTGCATACGAACGAGCCTTCGTTAACGTCGCCGTGTGCACGCGCGTAAAATATAGAATGACTATTGAACAAATTATGCGAGGAATGTCGGCGGCATGTCGAGTAGTTGTCGTCGTTTCTGAAGTCTGTGCATTCCGCGTGAATTCGATCGCATTACGTTTCATTGTCAAGTTATGTCTTTATACCGCGTTCCCATCAATCTCAAGCATTAATATTGTCTGGATGAGAAATATGGAGAGCAAAGGAGAAGTGCGTTTTCTCAAAAAAGTAGATCAACAAAAAATACGAGAAAGGCATTCCGACAGAATTTATGTGAATGACAATACGGTAGAATAACAATAAGTCCAACTGAAATGGTTCGTTTTGAATTCAAGGCGCCTGCCTTTGTTCTACTACTATGCCTGAAAATTTGTGAGCTCGAAATATACTTGACATACTTTTTTCTTATGACCGAACATTTCGTTTTTAAGACTATCATCACGAAGATAATAAAATCTCCGGGTTCCCCTAACGTTTCAAGAATGACGTAACTTAATGTGTATCATTATTGCTAACGAAACCGCCAACAATCCCGCGATATTCGGCGAACTTTATTGAGGAGAAAAGAAAGAGAACTACACTTCTTTGTGTGCATTTATAACGGCAAGAAAAAGATTATTTTGTAAGATTTTAAAAGAGAGCAAAATTATATTTCAATGTGTAATTTTTTTTTCGTTTTATCAAGCTTTCTTGGAATGTTTTATGTTATCATTCCTCGTATTATCGAGAGAGTCCGGGTCCGCGAAATGAGAATCACGAAATGAAATTCCAAAAGGTGTAAACTGACCTTGCACCATTGTCGCCGCTCTGGAAAGGACGTCCAAGGCACTCTCGACAGCGGACATATCTTCCTTTCTTCGATCGTTCCGTCCGTGTGAATTTTCTCCTCCTTTTCCTCCTCTATTCGTCTCCCCTCGCGTGTCACCCTCGCGCGAAACTCGCGCGCACCCTCAGAACGGTTCGTGGATCCTCGACCTTTCCTTCACGGCGCTCCCTCCCTCGTCGTCGTTTTGTGCCAAGGATACGTCGTCCTTGTCCCGTCTGCGTTTCCACGTCGCAAAATCAGGCGCTCTGTATAGGGACAAAAGTCGAACTTTAACTGTTTGGGCCTTCCTCGCGGCCGGAGGCGGTGCAAATAAAGTAAAACGGGGATTAAAAAACGTGACATTGTCTGTGGAATGCGGACCCCTCACCGTCGACGCTCCCCCTCCCTCTCGCGGGAGGATCCCCACCCCCACGGCACTCCTCTCGCGGGACCTCTTCTCGCGCCACGTATCTAGCAATGGGATCGACACGTTCGCGTTCGTGTAGCACGTTAACGTCGATTGATAATCGCTCGATGTTACGAGTGTCTCTGCAATTTTCAGTAACGTGTATCGCCGGAGGAATTTAAAATCGATTCTTCCTTAACAAAAATAATAATTGTCAAATTAAAAACGATTAAAATAACTTCTTTTAAATTGTATAAAATTAAAAATATTTTAAACATTAATAATTTTCAAATTATAAACGACTTATATAGCTTATATAATTGTAATAGTATTTATATCAAGTACATGATTATCTGATAAAATCTAATTATATAAGACTGACAGTTCTCTAACAACAAGCTTCGTAATGCATTTCGAGTTTAATTGCGAAAAACATTCAAAAATAATTTAAATCGTCACAATTGAGATGATAGCTTTTCCCTTATTTGCTAAATCGACCGCCGGTTTAATAGCAAAAACTTGTCAACGAAGAAAACAAGAAAAAAGTAACTCAATTACCTTTCTATTTCTTTATAGTGCTCACATTCTTCCCAAGTTACAAAATTGAAAATTGTACATTTTGAAAAATTCATGGAATTCAAGTATGTAACTTATTGATTGACTACTTGACATTTCTCAGGTATATCGTGGCAGAAAGTAAAGACAGATACGAAATGACAATAAACAATGTTAATCTACTTAAAGGGATAACGCTATCACACCTATCGTTATTTGTCATTTAATAATAATGTTCTACACGAGTAGAAATAAGGTGTCAAATAAGATCTACGTGACAGTTTAATCAGACGCGATGATTGAGCTCCTTCCATCAATCAATGTGGAACTTTTGACGGAATTTGCAAAGAATGTGTTTAACGAAAGATCGATGTTAAGATACGTTTGATATGATCAGGAAAATACGTTAATAAGGTTTAGTCAAACATTCTACA